TATATTACATTATGTTATATATTACCGCTTATAACTCAAGAACCATGATGCTGATGAAAAATCGAAGAGCATTTTCGCAAAATAGGTCCTAGTGATGAACAAAGCAAGACATTGGGTCTAGGTATTGACCAAGACTGTTCCAATATAAATCATGACCTTTAAAATAGTGTCGATAATTGTGAGAGTTATGAACTCTTCCTCCAATGCATCAATTGACCCATTCTCCAACGCATAAATTGACCTTTTACCGAACAGAATAGGACAAAGTACTTGAAAAAAGTAAAAAATATTGAAAAAAAAATAGTTTTTCCCTAAATTTCAACCAGATGTTATCCAGACATAGGAATAAAGAGCACTTACTCCTAAGACATTCTTGTAAATCTCTTTTTCCAAACAGTAGTAAAGTTAACCTAAGGTCAAAAACGGTCATTAGCCACTCAGCATTGATGCTGATTGTTGAATATTAACAGAAATTCCAATTAATGGAATAATTCATAATGTGAAATCCACACATGAATCTCAAATTACACAATTTTCCAAATTAAACAAATGAGAATTTCAAGTTAAAAGGTTTGAAAAATAGACACAAAACAAGGAAACAAAAACTATTCCAGTTAAAAAATATTTGGCGTTATAGAGGTTCCAGTTACAAAAGCTCAACTGTTTCTACTAAAGATTAAATAAAAACGTGTTTACTTTAGACACACCCTATACATAATATATGTAAATTAGTTGCAAAACCATCAACAAAAATGCCATAAGGAAACATTTAATATTCTTGCTGAAATACGTAACATTTTTTTCTAGCTACGCCTTCTCGTCTAAAATTTTTTTTGCAAGGGCAACAAACTTTTTCCTGGCAAAATAATTGAGGCAAAACGACTCAAGATTAAAAACTAAGAATGTTATTGAACTTTTATTTGTTTCGTATACCAAGAAACAACTTTTTGAAAAATTCAACCGACTGGTCTCTAAGGTAAATGACTTAATAAATCATTCTATCAAAAAACAAAATCTATACAATAACAATGAAATTGGCTTGTTGTTAATCTTATTAGAAAGGTAACTCATGACTTTGTAAGTTCCTGAAATATGACTTCGCAATTTTTTCAATTAGTCAATTACAGCAACATGCACTTCAAACTGAGCATCATTTGTTCTTGGAATTTAATTTTAAAAAAAATTGAAGGTCAATAATCTTCAAAACCGTTTTCAAAAAAGTACTTCAGAGTGATACTTTTAATAAAAGCAAAAATTGCACAGAATAGCAACCCTAGCGTCCCTACATTCATTTAGAAAATAATTTAACGTTTTTACTTTTTAGTTTCCAAGTTAATTGATTAATTAATTCTATTTAAAATAACGAAGCAATTGCCCACATTCAGTTGCATTAACATATCTTTTGAGATCATCCTTTATTTTTATTTTTTGACGTGACAACGTCTTATAATTCGATGGAGCCTGCTGCACGCACGAAAAAACATGACTCATGCGGCGTTACCTCGCTCTGAGGCGTTCCATTTAAGGCTTGAAGTGCAAGCGAGAGCGCGGAACGAGCGACAAAGAGGCACAATCGGCCTCCGCGTTCGGCAGTGTTCGACATCTGTCTCTCTCCTACTTGAGTGAGCGATGCGTCCGCGTGGACAGCTGCTATACAATAATACATTTCCATTTACCTCCTTCTCTATATCCATACAAAATATCTATCAAACAAATAAATTAAAATTTTCTTTTGAAAAATGAAACCATTCCATCAGTATTTTCTTATGACGTTGTCAAGTTCAACTATCGTCAGTAAACCGACTTTACAGACAACCGATTTTTTTTTACTTATTTCTTAACAAAAATAACTCACTATATAAATATTATAATACTTCTAACAGTGGTGCAACGAGGGGGGGGGGGCAGAGAGTGCCATGGCAAAAAGGACACAAAATTTTTTTTGCACATAATTGACTCTATTTTTATTTATTGTATTAGATGGTCATAAAATCATTGCTACACAATTTGGAGTTGAAGTATCAAAATCTGAAGAATATTCATAACATTTGTTTTTCTGTTAATACAATAAGACTGGATAAAGTGAATTTGAGGATTTCTTAAAAAATATTTATTTATTATTTTATATTGGGAAATTAGGAAAATCCGTGTAGATTTCACGGTACATTCATCGCACCCTTACTGCTATGTACTGATCGTAAAACTTCAATTTCAATCGAATATATAAATAGTACTCAACAAAATATGAAACAAAAATTATCACACCCCTAGCCAAAGGGAAGGATGTCGTAGGATGCTCTCCACCCCGCCCAATATCTGCTTTAGTTGACTTTTTTAAATTGTGTTATTAATTAGGATATATGTTAAAAATAAACATTTTTCAATAATAATAAACAGAAATCAAGTTCAAAGTGTTTTTTTAAGACACAATGAATAATACCGGCCTTAATTCGTGTGTACGGGTTGTAATAAGATTGCAAAAGGGCATAAAGACCATAAAAGTAATATCAGTCCTCAGTTGAGTGTTCACTAAATTCTCGCGGTTAGCATATCATACAATATTATCAAGAAATGTACTGCTAAAACTATTAGAAAGTGCTTTATTTATTTCTGCTATAAAAGTTTAAATTAATCCAGAGCAGCAATATCATCGAAAGCGAAGATTACTGACAAAAATTGATAACTGTGAATCCAATGCAACGAGGTTTGATATAAATATATTTCTTAAGCGTTTAAGATAAAATTACAATTTTTTTACAAGAAAATGCTATGCTTTCAGATAATGACGTATTTCCTAAGAAGACGTCATTTTCTTTTTTGCTTTTTATTGTATTTTCTTGTCTTTCTTTTACAGGTATTTTGTTTATTACTTTATGAACTGTTATATTATGTAATTGTAACTTAGAATGATGGTTAAAATGTTTCTAAATTGATATTTTGGCAGAAATGTTAAAATTAAATTAAATATTTCTTAACGCTTTCACAATTAAATTTCTTTTTGTAATTTACTTCACAGTATATTGGTAGGTGCATGCATTGACTTTAATATCTTATATATTTTCAGACGATTGGGCTTCTATTTTTGGTGACCCCACAATGTTCGGCCTTGGTCTGTTTTCGGTCCTCTTCGATATCCTGTTTATCCTCCAATCGCACTAATTATGAAGAAAAGAGTTAGTAAAATGGAGATCTTACCTGTCAGTTTTTCATATTGTTTATAGGCAATTACTTAATTGAAATTATTCTTAGAACATTTTCCCATAAACTGATACCACAAACTGTTTATTTCCTTTGTAACTATTGTAAAAAGATAGCAGAAAAATTAAATAAATGTTATATTACATGTGTCGACTTTTATTTCCTATCCTCTTGCTTTAATTATCGCTTAATAACATGTCGATCATTAATTTTTTGAGTTACGATAATAAAATCAATTAACCAATATCAATAGTTTAACGTCTTCTGCATAAAAAAGAATACCGTAAATCGATTTTGATAAGTATCTGTTAAAACTTTCCGATTATCCATTATATTTCAGTTCAAGAATTACAGGATATCCTTCATATCTCGCGTAGTTCAGGCGACATCTTGCGGCCGATAGTCAAACATTATTATTTCAGGTTTACAGATTTCAATAGTATTACAGATATCTACCAGAAAGCTACTAAAGCTTGGTGGCAATAATAATAACACTAAATTTTGCGCGGTAATTAGTCAGATTTCCCATGACTCTTATGCTCTCCTAATACAAATTTCCGATTTTCGAAGTTTCATTGCAATAGTCGTGTCCGGCGCATTCACCAAAATTTAACATCCATAATACCTACAGTTAGCTTTGGTGCATGAAAATATGAATTTTCCAAACTTATTCTATTAATTTATCAAACAACTATCCAATTGCGCTCTTGTTTACCTTATTTTTGTCAAATTATTAAACTTTATTGTACTTCTTCCGGCAAAATCCACCCACGTATGGCAACAAAAATTTAACTTTTAATGAAATGAATTGCTTAATTCATCAGTTAATGATAACTGATATCGATGATTAATCAATAAATGATAAGAACTAGCTGTGGCTTACTTTACACCAGCTATACATGGGTCGATTTTAACAAAAAAAAAATGCAAAAGATTCAGTAGAATTTGATAATTTGACAAAAATAAAGCAAACGAGAGCGCATTAAGATCATTTATTGATTAATATTTGATATTGGATGTGATTTATTGAAGAATTAAGTAAAACTGTTTTGCCAAAGTTCGATTTTCACTCCTATACGTAGGTGGACGTTGAACGAAAAAAACGTAAAAAACACCTTAAATAATAAATTTATGGCAAAAATACAGCAAGCGGGAGCTCTTTATATCACTTATTAGTTAATCGATATCATCAGTTATCATTTATCGATGAATTCAGCAAAAATATTTGGCAGAAGTTCGATTTCAGTTCCCAAAAACAATCGACAGGTAGCTATACATGGGTTATTTTTGGGAACCACAATAGAACATTGGGACAAATTTTTCGCTTAATTCATCAGTAAATGACAACTGATATGGATAATTGATTGATAAATGATAAGAACTAACTGTAGCTTGCTTTATTTTTGTAATAAAATGGTTATTTATTCTGTTTTTACGTTTTTTTCGACTAAAATCGATCCACGTATATGAACTAAAATCGAACGATTCCAGCAGTTAAGCAAAAATTTTCAACTCGATTCGTTCGATTTTAGTTCATATACGTGGGTCGATTTTAGCCGAAAAAACGTAAAAACAGAATAAATAACCATTTTATTACAAAAATAAAGCAAGCTACAGTTAGTTCTTATCATTTATCAATCAATTATCCATATCAGTTGCCATTTACTGATGAATTAAGCGAAAAATTTGTCCCAATGTTCTATTGTGGTTCCCAAAAATAACCCATATATAGCTACCTGTCGATTGTTTTTGGGAACTGAAATCGAACTTCTGCCAAATATTTTTGCTGAATTCATCGATAAATGATAACTGATGATATCGATTAACTAATAAATGATATAAACAGCTCCCGCTTGCTGTATTTTTGCCATACAATTGTTATTTATGGTGTTTTTTACGTTTTTTTCGTTCAATGTCGACCTACGTATAAGAATGAAAATCGAACTTTGGCAGAATAGTTTTGCTTAATTCTTCAATACATCACATCCAATATCAAATATTAATCAATAAATGATCTAAATGCGTTCTCGTTTGCTTTATTTTTGTTAAATTATCAAATTTTATTGAATTTTTTGACCCATGTATATCTGGTGTAAAGCAAGCCACAACTGGTTCTTATCATATATTGATTAATCGTCGATATCAGTTATCATTTACTGATGAATTAAGCGAATCATTTCAGTAAAGGTTAAACTTTTGTTGGCATACGTGGGTAGATTTCGCCGGAAGAAACACAATGAAATTTAATAATTTGACAAAAATAACGTAAACGAGTGCTCAATTAGATAGTTGTTTGATAAATTAATAGAATAAGATGGGATTATTCATGTTTTTTTGCGCAAAAGCTAACTATAGGTACTACGGATGTTAAAATTTTGGTAAATGCGCCGGACACGACTATTGCAATGAAACTTCGAAAATCGGAAATTTGTATTAGGAGAGCATAAGAGNATGTTCTATTTTGGTTCCCAAAAATAACCCATATATAGCTACCTGTCGATTGTTTTTGGGAACTGAAATCGAACTTCTGCCAAATATTTTTGCTGAATTCATCGATAAATGATAACTGATGATATCGATTAACTAATAAATGATATAAACAGCTCCCGCTTGCTGTATTTTTGCCATACAATTGTTATTTATGGTGTTTTTTACGTTTTTTTCGTTCAATGTCGACCTACGTATAAGAATGAAAATCGAACTTTGGCAGAATAGTTTTGCTTAATTCTTCAATACATCACATCCAATATCAAATATTAATCAATAAATGATCTAAATGCGTTCTCGTTTGCTTTATTTTTGTTAAATTATCAAATTTTATTGAATCTTTTGCATTTTTTTTTTGTTAAAATCGACCCATGTATAGCTGGTGTAAAGTAAGCCACAGCTAGTTCTTATCATTTATTGATTAATCATCGATATCAGTTATCATTAACTGATGAATTAAGCAATTCATTTCATTAAAAGTTAAATTTTTGTTGCCATACGTGGGTGGATTTTGCCGGAAGAAGTACAATAAAGTTTAATAATTTGACAAAAATAAGGTAAACAAGAGCGCAATTGGATAGTTGTTTGATAAATTAATAGAATAAGTTTGGAAAATTCATATTTTCATGCACCAAAGCTAACTGTAGGTATTATGGATGTTAAATTTTGGTGAATGCGCCGGACACGACTATTGCAATGAAACTTCGAAAATCGGAAATTTGTATTAGGAGAGCATAAGAGTCATGGGAAATCTGACTAATTACCGCGCAAAATTTAGTGTTATTATTATTGCCACCAAGCTTTAGTAGCTTTCTGGTAGATATCTGTAATACTATTGAAATCTGTAAACCTGAAATAATAATGTTTGACTATCGGCCGCAAGATGTCGCCTGAACTACGCGAGATATGAAGGATATCCTGTAATTCTTGAACTGAAATATAATGGATAATCGGAAAGTTTTAACAGATACTTATCAAAATCGATTTACGGTATTCTTTTTTATGCAGAAGACGTTAAACTATTGATATTGGTTAATTGATTTTATTATCGTAACTCAAAAAATTAATGATCGACATGTTATTAAGCGATAATTAAAGCAAGAGGATAGGAAATAAAAGTCGACACATGTAATATAACATTTATTTAATTTTTCTGCTATCTTTTTACAATAGTTACAAAGTAAATAAATAGTTTGTGGTATCAGTTTATGGGAAAATGTTCTAAGAATAATTTCAATTAAGTAATTGCCTATAAACAATATGAAAAACTGACAGGTAAGATCTCCATTTTACTAACTCTTTTCTTCATAATTAGTGCGATTGGAGGATAACCAGGATATCGAAGAGGACCGAAAACAAAGCAAGGCCGAACTTTGTGGGGTCACCAAAAATAGAAGCCCAATCGTCTGAAAATATATAAGATATTAAAGTCAATGCATGCACCTACCAATATACTGTGAGGTAAATTACAAAAAGAAATTTCTTTAATTAACGAAATAAACTCTACAAGTAATTAAAGGAAAATGAAAATAAGATTAGAGTAAAAAGAAAAATACCTGAATGAGAAAGAAAACAAATCACATTTATATGCAATAAAAATCTTATATTACTTACAAACTGTTACATAACCATTTCAGCATAAGATTAAGGAGAAAAATGTCCCCATAACCTTCTGTAGCCTCCGCATTTCTGCTTATAGCCACTCTATCCACCCAAATGTATTTTAATTGTGAACGCGTTAACAAATATTTAATTTAATTTTAACATTTGTGCAAAAAATCAATTGTTTCCTTCTTATCTCTCACAGTGCCTGAAAGAAAATACTTTCCGTTCAATGTACATATATTTGTATTATATTCCTACCTTCATCTGTCCATTTCTGTTTCAAAAGAAAAATTATCGTTTCCTTTATAATACTATTCTTTGTAAAATCACCGTTAAGGTAAATACATCACTGTTGACAATTTGAGTCATTAAAATGGAATTTATGTAAAAAAGTTTTGTAAGCAGCAGCTCTTGGGAGCACCACTGTAAAACAATATTGCTTTGTGTAAAATACACAAAAAAAAAGAAATGAACTGAAAAATGGGTCTTTATTGAAAGGAGTAAAGCACGCTTGGTACATGTACTCAGCAAACAAAAAAACCAATTATTACAGTAATAGTAATGGTCTTTTCGGTACAAACACAAAAACAAAATTTTAAATGTTACGGGTTTATGTTCAGACTTTTTTTAGATATACATATAAAGAGAACTTTGCGGCACGAACACAAACGGCCAGAATAGGCGTCCCGTGTCATTTATAATTTTCTTTTTATAAAACGTTAATTCAATAGTAACAAAAAATTGTACACATAATGGCACTCACAACGTCCATTTAAATTTGATATACACCTCCATCAAAAAATATTTCTATGATTATATGGTACATTAACATAAATATCATTTTTTCCAATACATTTTGTGTTGTATAATATACGATCAAAAACGCAGCATTTGTACTGTGAGGATTTTCGTAGGGATCTAACAAGCTCACAAAATTACGAATTTTGCATTTAAATAATGCTCATCGTCTTAAGACAGTAGTACTATAGTAATAGCGAAATTATCTTAATTTAAACAAAATAATTGCACGTTTTGTTACTTTCAGTTTTTTATTTTTTAATTTGAAGAAACATAAAATATTTAATGCCTATTAAATGTTTTTTTTTGTAAATATTTTTAACACCAACTTTTACTAGCCCATTAACTCTATTGGCATTCTCATGCATTATTAATATGAAATAAAACCTGTTTAAGAACTCTTAAATAAATGTAATTTTTCCATAGAAAATATACTAACTTTAATTCTGGAGTCATAATGCCAAAAAAATTGCGTCAACTTTGGTAGTACTACTGTTTTCGTTGAATACTTATTATCTAATAAATAACAATAATTGTTAACCCCTCTGGTTGATTGATAATCCCTTTTCGCCCTTACCTCAGTCTTAGCAGTGCAATAATATTTCTGCGTATATTTCTTCCTTCCCACCCATTTTTTTTTATTATTTTAGTTTTATATTATTTTGTATTTCATTTTTGCTTATCGCTTCACATAATCATTACCTCCGATTTCATGCTACTACAAAACATTAAAATTTCCATTGCATGTTTCCATTTATTGAAAACTCTCGTCGAGATTATGTGTTACATCGGTCATATAACAGGCCACTCTTTTTCACAAACACTACAAATAAGTAGTATTCGAAGCGGGCGATCTATGCGCACAGGCGCAGCAAAAATTTTATTTTTACAACATATGCGATTGTAATAACCTAATAACAGTAGTAAATGTATGAATGTTTGTTTGTATGTATGTGGTTATTTACAAGAGAGTAGAAGTTGGATACTTTAACAACAAGTTTCAAAGTTCGTCAGTACAATTGTGGGAGAGATGGGCAAAAACACTCCCGATACAATGATAATATGTATACAATATTATTTCACAGACTTCGAAAACCTGAGCTTTAAACATACACAAGGTGTTTTCAAAATTTGCAGCAATCACTTTATAATCGATTATAAGTTCTATCACAAAAAAAAACAAAAATCAACAAGTTTCATTAGCGAACTATGTACTTTCTTAAATAAAACACTGCAACAGCTGTTTCAAAATTAGTTTGAAATTCAAAAGTTTGTGATTCTTTTTGAACAGTTCGGTTTCCAGTTCATTAAAATCTAAGTAATGCAAAATAACTTATGGTTATTATTGTAATTTAATAGTATCGACTTTTGTCTACAAAGCAACACGACAGTTACTTGTGGAAAAAAGGGATGCTCGAGTGATAACCATCCCCTCAAAATAATTAACCATTGCAAAAGCAAAAACACATGGTGTTTTGTGTTCGCTTTATGTATGAAAGCTGCAACTTGAAATACAAGATATCGCACGAATGCAATAACGGTACTCAACATCAAAAAATATAAATTGGAAGTATCAAACAGACCTACTGAAACAGTAGTAGTACTAAGGCGCTATAAATAATCAACAGACAATGGTATGTATAAAGTTGACAATTTAGAAGTTACCACTTCGTTTGAAATGCATAAAAATGCGTGTAGAATCTTTCTCTTTCTTGATAATCTACTTAATTCTTGTGTTCCAACTGAAATTTTTGTACACAAACCATCTGCTCGCACTACCAAAAGTCGTAGCAGCCTTAACTTCACAAAAGATGTATAAATAGACCACTAAGCATTAAACTTTATGCATACCATCCATTGATCCTTTATTACTTATGTTTAGTGTGATGTCATGTATTTTTAGTTTATATCAATGAACTATTCTTTCTTCTTTGATATTCAAGTACCGCGAAAGACTCATTAAATTTCTTTTTACAAAATACAAGGGGATGATCTTACAAACTAGACAATCAATCATTGGAAGTCCCCCCTTCTGTTTCTTAAAAAATACATCTGGTAAATGAAAAAACTCTATAATGAGATACAGGTACGATGATTTCACGTACAGTCCCTTTCACGAAGGTTCAACATTTTTTTTAAGGGATCATCCACTATTGAGCTGGTTAGATCCACACTATGCATGCACTAGGACTGGGCAAAATATCCAGTGAATCCACTTACAATAGGATAATCATTTGATCTTTTAAAATATCCTATTAATCTGACAGACAGAAATCAGTTTTTAGTCCTATGTTTATTTTCGTTTTGCTACGCTTCATCTGAATTTCTAAATAAAGAATAAAAAGACGAATAGTCCTGTCTGTGATTCTAGAATGACTTTGCTTGCTTTCACATAAAAATCAACAATTCAATGAATTGATTTTCCTAAAATCGATAATCGATTGTTAAACATAATAATCGCCCACTCCTAATGCACTGTGGATGCGACACCAGCTCTAGTAAACAATTTCTTAAATGAAATATATCACATGTTATACAATATTTATATAATATTAATGTCAAGCACTAGCTGTATCAATCTACCATTTCTATTTCTAAAACTCTGAAGTACAAAAGTATTAAAATACAAATGAATGAACCTTAAACCTAGGCCTAAAATACCACCATAGGCGTTGCATAGTATGGTACTTTACTTATTATCATCCCTTGCGCAACCACAGAAAAATCCTCTGCAAACTGTTCATTATTGTTATATACATTCCGCCATTATCAATATAGATAAGTAGTGTAATGGAAAAGAAAACTGTTTAAAGATGCACAGAAACTACATACCAGCGTATAAGTGTACATACTATGTACTACATACTTATTATTTATGTTTTTGCTCTCTTTACAAATAACTCTTCTGTTTTATTACTATTATTATTATAGTTATTATTTTGTGAAGGGGTAGTCAGTCTCTTCGTCTAACAAACGAACCACTTCAATTGGCACACAGCCATACGTGGCACCAAGACATATCACGAAAGCAATTTAATTTAAATATAACGCTTTTTGCACTTCTTTTTACAAAAGTACTTGCAGGATCCCCACTATTAAAATACCTAACGATAGCTTAAAATACTTTATTCGTTGGTTGGTTTCTATTACCTTTTTTCTTTTTATTAAATTTTTTTTGTTTTGATCTGTGACTTAAAAAAAAGATAATTGAAAAAATATGTTTTATTTTCGTTCATTATTTGTATAACAATTAATATGAATGACTTATGAAATTACAAAAAATCATTACCGATCGTGAATTTATTGGTTATTGAGAGCTTTGGATGATTGATTTGGCAAAGTTCAAAATTACCCTAGAAGTTAGTTAACTTCTCTAAAAACTTCATTACAGATATTATTTTTGATGTGCAACATCTAACCACTCAATATGTGCGTATGTGGGACTATGAAAGTGATTTCGTGAATGCAACGGAAACGCGTAACAGAAAGCTAAAGAAGGGAAACGCGTGCATCAATGCGATTGATGCTTGAAGTGACAGAGAAAAAAAAGGAAGAAAGAGAATGAAGGCACAGCTGTTAACCGTTCATTGCACGACGCACTGCCATGCAGCACTTATCAGAATTATTGCTCTGCTTGTTATCGACGTTAAATGTTACACATCATTGGCGACTTGTAAGACTCGCATTTGCCTGAATATCCTTTCTCTACAAAATGGATGAAAGCAAAAATTGTTTACGAAAAGAAAGACCTTGGTTTATTTTCATTAAATTGCCAGAGACATTTAAAAATAATGATCGTAGTTTAATAAAATCAGACCTGAAGAAGTTCCTTTAGTGTTTAAATCTCAAAATCCCGCACATCCCATCCCTACTTATCGTGAACTTGCTACGGTCTGTTAAGACTAGGAATACACAAATAATAAACACACACAAGAATTCATTGATTATATTGAGCCTTTGTTTAGCACCCTCATTGATCTTGATAAATTCATTCAAATATCACAGCCGTCAGAATTTTGAGATTTACGATCGACATACAATGGTACTTACTAATTCTCTCTCTAATTTACGAACTCTAAAAAAACTTTAGGTTGCCAAAAAATTAAGAGTAGAAAAGTACATAAGAAAGATATTACTAAAAATACCTAACACATTATTGAGAAAGTATTAAGTGAAATTATTTTGTAAGACAAAAGTAAATGATTACAAAAATTTTGTGAATGGTTGCCCTAAGAAATGAACTTAGAATACAATTTTTTTTAATACTTATAAAAAGTCTACTCTCTAAATTCACGTGCGAGTTTTGCAGTCGAGAGTGAAATTTATTTAAAAAAAAATTATTACATAGTAATAATTGCGAGAGTATGCAAAAGAAAATGTTGCGTTTTAACAAAGCAAAAACAGTGTCAAAGAATACTACTGATTTTTTCTTTTGATGAAAAATCAGGTTATTAAAGTCAGATTTCTCTTCAATGTTGTTTTCGGAAAAAAGTGGGAATCCCAATAATTAAGTGGCTGCTGCAATTACAATGTTACTCTCAAACCCATCACACCAGGACCGGTATCGCTTATAAAAGTAAAAAAAAAACTTAATTATTATAATACGAAATGCACCACATTTTGTATCGATCACACTGGAAATTTAACGAAATAAACTGAAACTAGCCATCCAGATAGAAAATATTCATCATTCGATGAAATTTGGGATGTTTTTTTTTTGTAATTTTTTTATTTTTATATTTTTTTTATTTCGTCTTCAAAGCACATTTTATTATTGTGGATAAAACAAAAACAAATACCACTGTAGTATGGCAGGACAACAAAATGAGTCTTTTTTCACAAGCAGAAAGAAACTGCTGTTCCTGATGTGTGTTGTACTAAAACAACAGTCTGTCGTGGGTACTAGTACTATAAGAAAAATAAGTTGTTTTTATTTCCTTTTTTTTGTTTGTTATACCGGAAACAACGGATGAATGAAAGATAGAACAAAAGTTTGACACTTATCCGCTTGGGCTGGCAATGGCGGTGGGTCGGCTGTTGTTCTGCGCCAAACGCATAAGTTGGCAACTGCGCACTCTTGCCGAATTACGACGTTGCATTAACAAACTCTCGCTGGGCGGACTTAAACCGAATGGCGCCTTGTTCTCGTTATTATTTGGCGAATAAACATTTGGACGTTCGAGGTAATCCAGGTTCATACTGAAATGTTGTAAAACGACACGCTTACATGCCATAGCCGACTCAGCAAACTGAGACAGTTCGCGAGCCGAATTGTTTCTTTTTATAACTGAAGGTGTAGCTAGTGGGGCGTTGTTACATGCCGTCTTTAACCAAGGATGACGTAACACCTCCTCTGCGCTGATACGGTTTCTTGCAGACTTTACCTAAAGCGAAAACACATAGTTCATGATACTACAATAGTTGTTTTTAAGACAAAATATTAATTTTTTAGAAAACAGTTTTGAAGTTATTCGGGTGTATATGTAATCATGTTGATTTTATTTTTTAATATGAAGAAAAAATTGAACGCTCATTTTTATTATTATTACATTACAGGTTATCGAGCATAGAACATTAGTACGTATTTACAAACATTAAAGCGTCAAAGCAGCAACATTTAACAAAAAAAAATCTGAATAAAAAAAAAAGAATGGAGAGAATTCTAAAGGAACAAATGAAACTATATCAAATTAAACTCTTACTGTGTTACTTAATATTTGTATAACTACTTAATTTAATGAATTATTGACAAAAATTATTACATGGGAAAAATGTGTCGTATATTTTTCCACCCATAATGTGTATGTGTTTGCACCTTAACAGACCTTTAGGATTAATAATAGACCTTTAAAAGTTGTTTACGTGTCATTTTGCTACAATTACTATTTAAGCTATGCTAGTTAAAAACAATGGAACATGAACATAAACTTTGTTTATTAAATTATCAAACAATGCGTAGGTAGTTTTTTACAATTCGAAAATAGCAAAATTATTATTACAAAAAAATGACAACAAAAAAGTATCGCATTAAAAGCATATTTTTTTTACGCAGTTTGTTAAAAAGAATTGCAACAAAATGTTAATGTTACATAAAGTAAAACATTCTTTTATTTGCATTAGTTAACAAATACATTGCTGAAAAAACGTTGTTTTATTATAACCCACAATAATTGTAATTTGAGGAAGTAGCAACAATTTTTCCCCATTAATTTGGGGACATATGTGATGGATAGAAAGCTGATTTTAGTTTACTCTTACATATTAAGACTATTGTAATTCTTCGAACAGCACCTACTCGTATAAAATAGATCAATTTTCGTTAAGGTAAGTCAATTGATTTATTTTACTGTTATCGAATTACATTAAATCACCCGATATACTACAGGGTAAATCAATGTATTTCTTCGAACAGCAATACTAATGTAATAAATAATATAGATCAATCTTCTTTAAGGTACCAGAAGCAAAAAAAAAATACTACTTACCAGTAAAGATGAAATCAGGTCCTTGGCGTCCTGAGAAATGTAGGCCCACTCCTGCTCAGGAAACTCGTAGTGGGCCTCTTGAATGCTCTGAAAGAGGAGACTTTGACAGGTAGTGCAGTTGTCACCTCGGTCCCATCCGCAATCGCTGCCGCATTTGCCATAAAAAGGCGGATAGCCACATAATAATATGTAAATTATCACTCCCAACGACCACAGGTCGCATCTCTTATCATATGCAGTAGAATCTGCATCATTCACGAACGCTTCGACCACTTCCGGTGCCATGAATTCGGCACTACCCACCTGTAATCAAACAAAAAAGTTGTAACTACTTTCTCAAACCATAAAATAATGGTTTACTTTTACACTTAATATTTAATTGAACGGGAAATAAAAAGATAGACAATAGTAGGAAAAATTCCCTTAAAAAAAAAGGTGATATAGAAGAACGCTACATACTAGAGAATCCACTGTGATTTGTACAATTAAAGAAATAGTACATTACGTATCGAGGGAAGAAACAGGGCTTTTTCAGAGTGCATGTGAATTGCCACCCGAGCCGAAAGCGAGAGTGGCAAACATGCAGTCTGAGATAACCCTTCCCGAGGTATGTATACTATTTTTTGTCATATTTGTCCGGAAAGCTCGTCATTAAATTGATAGTTGGTGAAATAAGAGTAAATGATTTAGAGGTTAGAAAGAGATTGTCATTGAACAACTAATTTCTGCGCATACCCATAAACTTCAGGGCATGCGCTCAAAAGACTAATTTCATTTCCACCCGACTAAAACACGGCTGAAAAGAGGCCATTTCTTCCCTATTTCATAGCATGAAAAACGAGCTTTCCGCGCTAACATGACAAAAAGTTTTTTTCACTTATTAAAAGTATTCATTTTTGCAATAATTTCCGATAAACATTGTTAAATTAAAAGTTTCTTCATTTTTCTAACTGAAAATGATAATATTTATAGCACCAATTTGCAGTATTTTGAAGTGATAATTAGTTTTTTACAGAAAATAATTTAAAAATGCATTAGACTGCAAACTGTAAAGTTTTGAATAGACGCATGGACTATCTTTAACCGAGCCAGCAGTCTTCAAGATATGCTAAGGTACCCTTGCAGGTAAAAAATCTTGTCTAAAAAGATCATAAAAGGCTTTTAAAGGAATGGAATAAATATGTGCTGTAGACAAACGTACCGGTGTTAGTAGTTGTGGTGTTGCCAGTGGACTAGAAACGCTTGACTGGAACCGTATTCCGGATCCGAGATCGAGGTCGCATATTTTGACAGGGCAGAGTCGGTCCCTGTGCACGCACAGGATATTCTCAGGTTTGAGATCCCTATGCGCGATGCCCTTGGCGTGCATGAAAGCCAACGCCGATGCCACTTCTCTCACTATCTCCGCAGCCACTGCTTCGCTGAAGAACTTGTGCTCCTGGATGCGTTGCAGCAACTGCCCACCATTCACCTGACAAACATTAACCAAAATTAATAACCCAAACGTTCATTAGATACAATATGTAAAAAAACAACCTTGTGAGCAAAAAGAACGGACTATGTATATAGGTAAGGCAAAATATTCACCGAACATAGAAATGCCACATTTTAACAAGCATTTTTTCTTTTTATGTTGCACAAGCGAAAATACATGATTTGGTGTATCTGAAAATATCCTCCAGTCTTGATCTGAGATAACCATATATAATAAGACAAATGTACATAAAAATTTAAAAGAATAAATCACCCTAAATTCACCCTATTCAGGGTTTATTTTATCATAATAAGTGACCAAAACAAGAATTGTTTTTTCAGAAGTTATTAATGAGAATTTTTTTTACAGTAATCTGTTATTTTAGGCATTAATTATAAAATCTGACTTAGGTAGTAAATTGACGTCCTTCCTTTGAGATTCAATAATATCAGACGATTATAAAGCAACAGTATTTATTAACCGACTGGTTTTAGACGTAAATGCCCATTTCTCCGTTCGTCGTGAAAAATTTCCGAGTTATAAAGTGTTATTTATAGGTAACCAATGTTTAATAAATGTTTTTGCCAAGTTTTATATTTAAACGGTTTCTTTTATCGTTGTAAATTAAGTAAATATTGCCCTTGTAAATTTCCTCTCTCGTAATAAATTTTATTGAAATTTTCTTCTTCATACTGAGTTTTCTTGAAAGTTTTTAGTGTTGCTTTCAGAATTCATTAGGTTGAAAAAAATTCTTCACTATTTACAATGCTTATGTTAATGTCGTCTAGGCATGAAAATTAAAGCTACAGTTGAATTTATTAGTTTCGGACTAAATTCATAAGTTTTGAAGCCAGAAGTGTCTCGTGAATTGTATTTTATGACAGGCGTTTACCGCCTAACGAAGAACCTGAAAACTTTTAACTGCAGTTTTATTATTGTACTCCTAGATTTCTATTATTATCATTATAGCTATAATCGTAACTTAGGTGCATAAATAATGTGCGATGTTACAAAAAATTTAAGGAAAATTAGTGATAAAAACTTATATATAATGGAAACTGATCAATAACAACTTGAAACTGTACCAGGGAATATTTTTATTTGTTTCAAGAACTCCGTTTCTGTCGATAACAAACAAAACCCGGAAAGAAAAATATGCATTTCTTTGCGGTAAATTAAACGATAGTGTGCATTCCTTATTGTCATCATCATCATAAGGTCATCAGTCCTAAGACTGGTTGGACACGTATCTCCACTCTTTCCATTTCCCTAAAACTAGAACAGCCCACATCCTTAACTATTTGCGAACAATAATCTAATCTAGGTCTACCTCTACCCCTCCTAACTCCTGTTTCTGCCTCTAATATGTCTCTGACTAGACCACCTTCATGCCTTATTGTACTATTTTATAATTAGGAACATTATATACGTTTTTATAATTTATATTACGTATATTTGCGATGTGTTATACCTATTTTCAAATTGTTTTAATTTTTAAAAAAATTAAAACACATCCGCCCAGGCAATACCTTACAATTTCGATTAGGTATAATCAACCTAGTACGACAGTTATATTATTTGTCATTCCTAAATTGCAAAAATTTGTCGCTCTAGGAGGTTACTGGAAAATAGACAAAACGCTTCTTTCAATTTTTCGATATTTTTATCCATTTTGTCACTAGTCTATTTCCAACTGCCATACAAAAAGCAACTGGAGATCACCAGAGAAATAGCGTAGAAAATATTAATAAAGGTACAATCTATCTCTAATATATCATTAAAAGATGACACTTTTACCCATTTTGTCGTCATCGCAGTGTAACTGCCAGCTGTCCAGCGAAAAACGACTTATCGAATTCAAAAATTTGTTGATCCTGCTGGTTACTGGAAAATAGACAAATTCTTAGGCCGATACCAAGCTGGGACTACATATAGGGTGTATTTCGAAATAGAAACGACGTAGAAAAATAACGTCGGGTTCATAATTTGTCCCTAATTTGCTACTGAATTCAAAAATTTGTCGCTTCACAAGATTACTGAACAATTAACAATCTGCTAGACTCATACCAAGCTGGCACTGCACATGGCGTACATCTCGAAATAGAAAAGACGTAGAAAAATACTATCAAGGTCATAATTTGTCGTCAATTTGTTACTTCATTCAAAAATTTGTCGCTTCAGAAGATTACTGAAAAATTAATAATCTGCTAGACTCATACCAAGCTGGCACTGCACATGGCGTACATCTCGAAATAGAAAAGACGTAGAAAAATACTATCAAGGTTATAATTTGTCGTTAATTTGTTACTTCATTCAAAAATTTGTCGCTTCAGAAGATTACTGAAAAATTAACAATCTGCTAGACTCATACAAAGCTGGCACTGCACATGGCGTACATCTCGAAATAGAAAAGATGTAGAAAAATACTATCAAGGTCATAATTTGTCGTTCATTTGTTACTTCATTTAAAAATTTGTCGCTTCAGAAGATTACTGAAAAATTAACAATCTGCTAGACTCATACCAAGCTGGCACTGCACATGGCGTACATCTCGAAATAGAAACGACGTAGAAAAATACTATCAGGGTCATAATTTGTCGTTAATTTTTTACCGAATTCGAAAATATATCGCTAAAATAGACAAACTATGTTGATACCAAACTGGCACTTCACATATGGCGCATCCCGAAATAGAAACGACGCAGAAAAATACCGTGAGGATCATAGTTTGTCGCTAATTTGTTACCGAATTCAAAAATTGGTTGCTCCAGCCGGTTACTGGAAAATAGACAAATTCCTAGGGTGATACCAAGTTGGCAATACATATAGCTGCATCTCGAAATAGAAACTACTTAGAAAAATACCATCAGGATCATAATTTGTCGATAATTCGCTACCGAATTCAAAAATTTGTCGCTCTTCTACGTAGTATTTCTTTATGTCATTTCTATTTGAACATATGCAGTGTGTAAGATCAGCTTGATATTTCAGGCAAGAATTTCGTCTATTTTGCAATAACAACTTAGAGGCTTCTTAAAGAATTTAAACTTTATTGAAAGTAAGTGTAAAGTGACTATACACAACTAATATATCCGAATGCCTCATTTCCATTTGCACTTTTACAAAATTTTCATGGGGATCTCCGTATTACATAAGTGTATTATACTCCCTTAAAATTTGTTACTTTTTAATTTCAAAAAACTTTTGTTTCAAGGAAAATTTAAATAGTCAAAAGACATACTTTACCTGGTGTTTTTCTTGGATTTTGTGGTTATTTTTGTATATTATTTCATATGAATATATTTACATATAATGACCGTTTGGAATGCATATACATATACAAAAATACACGTATTTCTAGGACTAAATTTATATCTTCTCCGCACCAATTTCATTTTATATTTACATACAATACGTTTGTTAGTCATTAAACAATTGATTAGCCGGTTAACCTGCTTTTCAAAATTAGAATGGAACAAACAATGTTGTGTACAATTCAATTAAATGCATATCGATATAAATAAGTTGAATAACAAAAACGAGGAAACTGTTATGTAAAAACTCGCGTGTGTGCACGGGCAGAGGTCTCCGACATCCTCTCGCAATTAAATATATTTGCGAACACGTCCTTGGGACTAGCTAAACTGGGTTGAGGTTGTGACTTGCAAACAAGCAGGATCACTGCACTCTGTTTCCTTTCTACCTACGTGGAAAGCGGCACGTAATTAGGTGGGAGGCGGGTTATTTAAAGTCCTCGTTCCCGTATAGGGAAAAACAGGACATTAACCCCTTACAGAAGGACGAGCAAGAAAATCAGGTTAATCGTTTGCCTTTAAAACTGCCTGGAATTGCAGTTGAATAATACATATTGCATGAAAATTAGCCGATTCATGTCGTGGTTTAACCGAAATAATTTTCTGCAACTTTTTGCAATACACATTAACAAGCGAAAATTAGAATAATGTTTAGCCTTCACAAAATGTAACACTAAATAAATATTTTCTACATATGTATATATAAATTGTCAACATGAATTTAGAGAAATGTTAACTGTAAGGGATTGCCCAAAAAGTTGTATCACCAGAAAAAAAATGTCTAGAAGGACTTTGAGCAATAACTATTCTGGGTAAAGATGAAGTAAAAATAAAAGTTGCCAATATTTGAAAAATTTTCCGTATGCTTGACAAATTTCCCATTCTTTTCCGTCCAATTTCCCGATTTCTCGGTCACTAAACTCCCTGTTATAAAAATGTAAACTAAAGGAACAATCTCTTTGGCATTAACAGAACAATTTGAAACCTTGATCTACTCGATCGGATTCAATATTAACGGAGAAAAACGAGTAAACTGGAAAATTACTTTTAGATATATATTTTCTTCCTTTGCTGCCCTTTCCCTTTCAACTACGAGCAAAATTAAATTCGTATGATCCAGAGAGCATTAACACTAGCTGAGTTGAAAAGCTACGGAAAACTTTCAATCGCTATTGAGGAAAACTGCACCAGATTTTCGCACATAGCACATATTCATAAGTTACTCTCAATTTACGCAATCCCAGTAGTTACAACGGAGATGTAAATAAAAAAATGAAAAGGATATACTTGGCATGATCCCACGGTTGTTTTCCTGTTTTTCACCAAAAAAATACACATCTGGTAAAATGTGTAAAAAATATGCTTAAGTGATCATTAATTAGATTTTTTGTGGCAACTATCCTCATATAAAAATAAAAATGAAACATAACACAAAAAGCCTGTAGTCTGCATTTAAATGTCGAATTAAAGGCTCTACTATGACAAATTATAAATATGTGTGATCAGTGGTCTAATTTGTTATTTAACATTTCCTTGCCTTTCAATGCGACAGACAAATGTGTTATTCTATTCTGTTCTTATGTTTTCATAACTTACAGTACTTGTCGAGCCAATGGACAAATAACATCTTGAAACTATTTTTATATAAAGGAAATTCACCAACCCAATAAAAACGAAAATAGAATCAATTTTTTCATTTAATTTCCATATTTTCAATAGCATTTTGATATATGTACATATTACCTAGTGATAAACAAATTATCAATCAATTTTAAACAAACAAGTTAGTATTTAAACGTCGTCAGTGGCGTGGTCACTTGATTGGGTTCCATAAAATGTATGTAAATCAAAGTATATTCCCAAATGCGTAAAATACCAGATATATAAATGTATATTTTCCCTTTATTTTTGAAACGCCTTTACACCACAATTTTTATAAAGTACAATAAAAAGTAAGACCAACGTCACGTATGCAACAAAATCTGTCAGACAGTAACAGCTTGCCTTTTATATATATTGTATTATTACGTATACTTTAAGTATTACATCCTTATATATGAATAAATTTGAACGAATCGAATGATTCAAACACGTCTAACATATCAATACATTGTCGATTTTTTACTTTAAAAAAATACGTAAAACGCTGAATATTCGAAAGCCATTACAACGCTCCCTCATCTGAAACGCGACTGTCGAGTGATCAGTCACGATACTTTCTCTGATGTCTATTACATACATATACAGGGTAATCCATTAATTAGATGAAAAGTCATGTGAGTTTCATGCTCTTTTCAACAGCGACAGCCGCATCTTTTTATCGAGTATAATTGCCGAGATATTAAAATTTTTGTAAGGTACTAAAAACGTCAAATTTTCTAGAAATTACTAAAAAACTCCACAAACGATATCGCGCACGGAAAAACTATGCTTTAACAAACTGGACATTAAAATCGATGCTGAATTCAAAAATGTAATAATATACAGGGTGTTCCATTTAAAATAAGGCATCTGATATATACCTCCAGTATATCCGGAAGTCCGCCATCTCTGAAATTATTTTCCGCAGATTGGTTCTTTTGACCAGGAACATTTTTTATTGGAAACATTTTCTTACAATTTCAACGGCAAGACCGCCAGAGAGCAAGGCGCGCTTAATGAACTACCCTGTATATAATAATAATTATTGGAGCAATATAATTTTTTTCCTAGCAAAAGCTTTGTAATGACGAATAACGGAGAAATTAAAGACACGAGGATGATATGAACAAACAATATGTATTGACATAAAAACGTGACGGCAGTGGCACTAATCGATGGCTCCCTTATTTTACCCTAACGGCTAAATGCCTAATTTTAATTGGGTAATTAATAGCATGTATTCTAGGGGAATGTACTCTTACTTATACATTAGTGAACAAATTTTTGAAATCGGTTCAGTTGATTCCGAGATACTTACCGATAACAAACTCATAGACTTTTCCACTACAATATTAGTATAAATAACTACAATTTAACCTTGATACCAACTTAGAATTCGCGTCTAAAGAAATCCAAAAATAATATTTTCTTTCCCATTAGGTTTTTTTTTGGCAGCAAATCTACATATAATCACTAGGCACATAAGATAAACAAACCGTTAAATATATTTACCCATAATATTCATGTGCCTTACAATATTAAGTAAAATATATTGCAAAAATCACCCGTGTGTGTTGTGTAAGCATTTTTCTCCGGCCGGCTTAATTTTGCACTTCTGCGTCTCAAAAAAACATGTGCTCTCCCATCGACAAACATGTTTTGCGAAAATGGAAACTACATGTACAGTAACAACGGTTTGTTATCACGGATTACATAATAAAGATGCGATACGTAAATGGCATATATAAACACTTGAACCTCTATTTTTTTATTTGTGAAGCAAAAATAGCAGTTGTTTTCTTTTATTATCATTTCACCGTCAAATTCGGTTTAGTGACTCAATGAGCGTAATGATATAAAATAAGTACAAGCATAAACCCCATTAGAGGATTATAAAACGGCTCGTTATATTACAATTATAGTCCGTAATAATACTTAATATTCAATTGAATATGACAACTTATTAGGGCCCAAACACACGGGTCAAACACACACACAAATTGTCCATTAATTCATTGTTCTTTTATGTGGAGCAAATTCTATGTACAGCATCTCTAATAATAACCGTAAGCGAAATAATAGTGTTTTTCGAAATCTGCCAAAATTGCTTTTTTACTGCCTGTTTAAAGCATGCTATCCAATAATAAACTAGTACTATTAACTATGTCTACGTAGCTAATAACAAACAAATCCAACGTAACAGAAAAAAATTTAGCGTGTTTTGTTCTCTCCAGCTACTATATAATGCCGGATTTACACTCTAAAGCCAGGAACACATCTGACAAACGTTGCCATTTGTTCGCGTTCGTTTGCGTTCGTTGGCGAGGTGTAGACGGTCATTTATGATGATTAACAACGAATAAATTTTAATTAGAGTAGTCAGGAATGCGAAAGATCGTTTTTCATACTCCAAAAACATCAAAAGGAGATGCGAGTTGCGAATGTATGAGAACGCTTGTAAACGTTCGTATGTGGACGTGTTGAAAATAATTTTCAGTAGTTTACTACAATTCGTCGAGGCAAGTTGTTTTTATCAGTAAAATCATACAGCGACGAAAAGAAAAAAAGAACACAAAACAGAGAATTTACTACTTCTCAAGAATTTGTTCAAGAATTTTATTTTGAAACTACAAATCTACGTATTTTTACCTTTGTGTTTGTCATTACTATAAAACACTATTTTAAACAATAAAATAAAAACGTGGTTACTGATACACACACGTCAAATGGGTGGAACGCTAGCAAATGTAAATAGGAAAGCAGGGGAGGATAATTCGTTCATACTTGCCACTCTACCGGCAATGTTGTCGTGAATGTCTACGAACGATCAGCAATGATGGCAATGCAAATAAATGCGAACAAATGGTGAGTGTATTTCCGGCTTAACATAATGTTAGAGGGTATAGCGGACGTCATTTTAACGTTCCTTTAAAGAACCCAGTTGTGATTAAGTAAATATGTATAATAGATGAAACAGACGAAATGAAGATAGAAGAGAAGTAAAAGTTACTATGTAATTATATGGAATTTTACTCATTGTAAAATTAACAACAGCCACGAGCGATTTGATGGTGTACGGTTCTACGTTGAAACGTAGTCAATCACGTAGAAGCCGCGGGAAACGACCACGTTTGATAATGAAACAGACACATATGTACGCAAATGATTAAATATAGGTATATATAGCTTTTACGTTAGCAACTTTTATATGTATACTTAATTTAATTCAAACACATTTACCCATTATATATGCATTCTGTCCAGACAAACCTTGAAAACAATCAATTAATAATACCTAATAAAAATAAATCAACTTCAATTTTTATAATTCTGATTTCTCGAACTAAATAAACTGTTGATCGTTAATTTGCAATTTTCATAAGGAAGATAAAATTGATGATCTAAAATCTTCAATAAATTACAGCATTATTATCTACTAGTTGAACCCATCTAAACTTGGACGGATGGGTACCGTAGTCGATGGTGCATAGCACTTACATTATAATCATGACGATCCCTCAACACCGTAACCTAATCTCAGTCCTTGGTGCATACCACTTTACATATTATTCCGATCAGGTAAACCTCTCTCATTACAACCTAGCCCACGGGTTCTCAAACTTATTTCGTCTGCTGCCCACTTTGAGAATCAATTATTTTTTAGGTAAAGGTCTAGATGATGGCCCCCACCCCCTTGGGGGGTAAGGATCGAAAGGAGGTCTCCCCCACCACTGTACCATAAAAAGTTCGTGGCGGTCTCACCCCCCTAAAAAGTTATAGGGGTTCAAAGTTAATAAATATGCCAATTTTTATACATTTCTAGGCATGTAAATATTTATATAGTCATTTTTAAACAATATTCAAAGGTAAAACTAATGAAAAATACATAAAAATATTGAGAAAGTTATATAAAACATTATTTAAATATCTTTATCAATAGGGTAGGTTAGGTTAGGTTATCGGGTTTTGTTCAAGTGACCACCCTCTTTCGATCCCCCACCTCCACCCGCTTGAAAATAATTTTTTTATTGAATTTTATTTGAATTATAGTGTATGAAAATTGTCAAAACAATCAACTTTCAACCCCCATAACTTTTTATGGAGGTGAGACCGCCGCAAATTTTTTATGGGGTTTTACTCAGATGACCATTCTCTTTCGATCTCCCCTACCCTCTTTCGATGCCCCTACTCCACTCCCTTCTAACCCACATAACTTTTATGGGGGTGAGACCGCCACGAACTTTTTATGGTACAGTGGTAGGGGAGACCCCCTCTTTCGATCCCACCCACCCCTGAAACTTCAAACACGAATTGCATAATTTACAAAAACTTGTGAGAACTTGATTACTCAGGGGGCTATCTACACCTTGGAAAGTACATTATTCAAATAAATTATTAAAAAATATTTTTCAGTAGATAAGCATCGTTGAGCTTTGGGCGTCACCCTTCTCATTTTTGGAAGGAATGTATAATGATTCTTCTAGAGCTCGATAAAAATTTTCAAAGATCACTTGAAATTACTTGCCGACCCCTGCTCTAGAGTCTTCACCACTCCCTTCGACACCCAAAAGCCAATACCACAATAGCACTTCACATATACCATTCAGGGAAATCTTTTCCACCATAACATAGCCGAAGTTATAAACCCATTAGTGTAAAGCGCTTCACATATGTCAATCAGTGAATCTTGTTCCACCACAATTTACCCCAAACCTTTGATACATAGTACGACAAACAAGAGAGGAAATCCCTTCTCACCATAAGCTCAAGGTGCATAGCATAAAAAAAGTGTAAGGAATAACCGAATATGACAAATAAAACTAACCTTCTCAAAGACCAGATAGAACTTTTCCTCGTCCTCAAAAAACTCGGTGAGCTGTATGATGTTAGGATGTCCTTGGCAATAGTGGAACGTTTCGACCTCCCTAAAGACTCGCGCTCTCGCGTGTCCAGGGACCTTGTCGATTATTTTCACGGCGTACTCCTGCTCCGTGAACATGTTCACGCACGTCTGCACGCTCGCGTACGCACCCTCACCTAAGATCTCGCCGGTCAACTTGTACAGATCTGCAATCAAAGAAATAACCAAATTCAATTCCATTTACTCATTCGCAAAAATTATTTGTAAAAGGAAAGTCTTTATTTTTCCACAAAATTCGCCTAATTCTAATGCATTTTGGGTAATCGTCATCACCCCCCCCCCTTCTCAACCCCTTATTATATTGTGAATGCAGTACAGACTACAAAAAATCGTTTATTGACATTTTAACTTCCTGCCTTTCACAATGAGCGAACTATCGTCGAACTTTTTGTTCGCTTTAGTCTAAATGCACCTTTAAAAACAACGCTTATAATAAATTACATATTATATTATTAACGATAACATTTATTTCAAGCACTTCACATATACCATTCAGGGAAAAAAAAATAGGCGATATAGGTTGATAGGACACCTTCTCAGGCATGAAGGTCTAGTCAGAGACATGTTAGAGCAGAAACAGGAGTTAGGGGGGGTNAGTTAAGGATGTGGGCTGTTCTAGTTTTAGGGAAATGCGAAGTTTAGCTCAGGATAGGAAAGAGTGGAGGTACGTGTCCAACCAGTCTTAGGACTGACGACCTTATGATGATGAAGATTTATTTCGTACAGTCAATTAAAAAAAATTACATGTAAGCGATTAATTACTGATAAATTACTAATTGGAAGGAACGTCGAGTTTTTATAGTTTACGTTTTATTACTCTAACCACAACTGCAACAAGAGTTGTTGACATAACTGCATTACATCTTAATCAGTACCGATACCTACGTGACATGTAAGATCATAAAACGCTTATTACCAAATTTTTAAGAAAATATAAGCGTGGGTCGCTATTTCGGGGAATGAACCCGGAAACAAAGCCTTTATTAGAAACACGCACCTAGCAACTTATAAACCTGTGACCTTTTCACAATTTCACCCTTCAAAGCATGTCTAATACAGTATTTGCTGACAAGCGATTAACGAAATCCGAACTTGCTGACAAGGAAGTACACTTTCTAATTATAGTATCCTCATTAAACGAAATATTTCTTTCTCGTATAATATTTTATTGTTTTACAATTTCAATTACATTTTTTATCTAATTTGTAACTGAAAGTTTGATTTAATAGATAAATTAAATGATAAATCATTAACGAGCTACAAAAGCTATACTCTAGCATAATAAAACAAAAATACGTACCTAATATAAAAAAATACTTTTAAATTTGTTGATACTTTTAAAGTATAGTTATCCTTTCGAATTATTGTAACTGTAGAGAAATTTATATTATAAAAACAAATTATGCAAATGCAATTAGCTAAGTTCTCGTAAGAAGCTGCTGTATGCACACAAGAATGTATCTCGATTGTTTTAAGTTTTTGATTGGGTAGATAGTCCTTCCAGTCTTAATGTAAAGCTGGTAGATAAGGCGGATGATGACTCCTTTTAAGAATAGGAGGAATCAGTGAGCGGCGATTGGGAGGAGACACGAAGACACCACAAAAGAAGTGAACGATTTTGTGTGAAACATTACCGCCTCATCACTTCAGAAGTGCTCGAGTTAGGGAACTTCCAATATATAATAACAATAAATAAATAAAATGCGTAAATAGAAATTCATCATGTATATATTTACAGTAACCATTAAGGGAAACACATTTTTAATACATTAAAACTTATAATTTTTCTAACCGTATTTTTGAAACGCAATCTCAAAATTTAAATAAACAAAAATATTTGCCGGATCTTTTTATAGTTGTACAGTAGAAGTAAGGGAACCAAAACGGGTGCCAAATACAGATCATGACCATGTACTCCGTGTGTTTGTGCAAGTATTTTTGTTTAGGTTCACACTGATAATAAATAATCTTTATCATCAATTATGCGTGTAGGTCGAAAAACATCAATATTTTGGTCGGTCGGACGAATTGTTCACGTCTATCTATTTATTCGTTCGTGTCAACAAATTGCGAAAGAGAAAACTTTCAAAATGCAGGGTCAACTGGCATAGTTATCTAGGTGTTTTGTGTTGTGAGGAAATTAATATATGTTGAAAGAATACTTTCTGGTATCCTCACGTTAAACGCCAAATTAATAGCGAGTAACCAGTTCGAAAAAGTTGTAAAGGACGATAGTTTTGTAAAATATTTAATTATTAACACTTAACACTTAATTTATACATATAACAATTATAATTAACTAGGTAGCTCTGAGAATCTCAATTTTAATGTGTAAAAGTTATGTTAAGGAATGATGATAATGAATGTCTGTTGGTGAATGCTTATTTATATATTTCGACCCTTAAATATACTTATAACTAGTTCCCTAACTGGGCATAGCGAGCATTGTTTGGGGGTGCAAAACGGTTCCGCTAGCAACAAGGTTATTACCCTTATCCAGGTACTTCTATAAATATTTCGGAANGTTTTGTAAAATATTTAATTATTAACACTTAACACTTAATTTATACATATAACAATTATAAGTAACTAGGTAGCTCTGAGAATCTCAATTTTAATGTGTAAAAGTTATGTTAAGGAATGATGATAATGAATGTCTGTTGGTGAATGCTTGTTAATGAATGCTGTGAATTTTTCTCTTTCGACCCTTAAATACACTTATAACTAGTTCCCTAACTGAGCGTAGCGAGCGTTGTTTGGGGGTGCAAAAACGGTTCCGCTAGCAACTAGGTTATTACCCTTATCCAGGTACTTCTGTAAATATTTCGGAAAATAAAATTTGGAAACTACACCAATAACTATAAAACGTGACTGACAAAAGATACAAAATTTTACAATAGACGGTACTTCACAAATAAATAAAATTGAATTGAATAGCAGTTGAAACATCATAAACAAAATGCCTTTCTCACGCCGGCTATAGAATTTAAATTTGTACAAAAATTTCTATGAACAATAAAATAATACAATATTTATTGCATGAGATGCAACA